TTCATGTTAATTACTTGAATTTTAGATATATCATAGTTAAGATAGAAATTGAAAATTAACGAATAATGATATAATTGAAAGTAAACTTAAATGCTTGTAGTAAACGTACACGTGTATTGTACGTGGAAGTTTAATATTACAATAACAATTATTATTATTATTATTATTATTATTATTATTATTATTATTATTATTATTATATTTTGTATTCTACTTCTAGTATAAATAAAAGAATATTTTTATTTTAACGATTATTTTTATTGAATATGATGAATTAGAAATGTTCCCAAATGATTTTAACAAAATTCTATACTTTTTCATTTTTGTGTTCCTTTTTAAATATTTATTATTCAATTATGACATCATGGGTTTCTTTGAAAAGTTTGATCATTGACCCCACCATCTAAATAAGAAAATAGCTTTGTTTTCATATTAGTTTTAAATTATATATTTCATCTACATTATATAAATAATCTTTGCTTATCACACTTAAATTTTTTGGCATAATTAATATATAATTTTTTATATATTCTTTTGATTACTTGTACTTTTTATTTTATTTAAGATTTATTATTTAACTATCATCGACTAGTCCATTTGACTTAAACCACTAACCCACCACCCAAAAAGGAAAATAGTTTGATATCTAGTTTGACATTAAATTTTGTATTACGCTTAAATCATTGATAAAATTATTTCTTATGTATAGTACTTATTGTTCTTCAATATAATGAATTACAATATTAAAGATGTAACCAATATTTTATTTTTTATAAATATATAATATTAGATATGTGCCCAAAATTTTCTCTATTTTTTTATTGTTGTGATTCTTTGTATTTTCTATTTAAAAAAAATTATTATTTGACTATGACACCATTTCATTTTTAGGTTGATTTTAAATTTGGCATTCCATTTTCATCATTCATAAAAGTACTTCTTACATTTCATACTTATTTTTGGTTAGTATAATGAATATACAATATTAGAGATATATCCAATTCTTTTTATTTTTTGTATTATATATTTTATTTATTTTAATTCTTTATTATTGAATTATGACATTATTTGTTAACCCATTTGACCCCAAATGGTCGAATTGCTTACCCACCATCTATAAATGAAATTATAGATGGATATTGATAGATGGAACACAATAGGTACAAACTAAAGGAATTGGGATTTGCTCTCCTTAAAGAGCACTCCTCGTAACAACCTCATAGCCACATTCCACCGTGTATTGGGAACATTTCCCATGAATAATAACATACGAGTATGAGAGATGTTCCTAATGTATGGTCGGTACATGCTGGCATGCTATGAGGTCAGTATGGGGAGCGCTCTATGAGGAGCAAGGGCTTGCCAGAGGTTGAGAGCTATGGACTTAATGTCTAGAAGCCGCTATTGGGATAGAAATAAACTTATTCAAAACTTTGGTCCAAGTGAAGTTGAGTTGATTGAAAACACTCACATATTCAATAATTATGAGAATTACCAATTCCTCTAGTTGGGATCTCCTAATGGTTAATTTTTGATGAAAAGTTTTATGACTTGACATGAAGAAATTTACATGCAAGAGAGATTAGATAATAACTTATTATAGGTAATTAAAAGAATTTGGATGTTGAGAATGCTAATAAAATGCAAATTGCTCCTTTGGACGGTTGGCTAGAGATGTTGTATATGCTAAAGATAGATTGGTAGTTTGTGGCTTGATTGTTGATAAATCTTGTTTGTTTTGTGGAAAGGGGAGTATATCCTACATTTGTTTTGTTATTGCCTATTAGGATTTTCTTTTTGCTTCTCCTCGGGGTATTAGAGTTAATAACGAGTAGTACAATTCCTTTGTTGAGATTTTGTTTGATGTGTTGAAGTTCTTTGGTTGATGTTCATAATTCCCTTGCATTGTTAGTTGTTGCATTGTACATTGTTTGGAACTAGGAATGCATGTCCATCGGTTTGTAGAAGGGATATTGTGTTGAGCATCAAAATTTTTCATGGAACTAAGTGGACTTAATTCTATGGTCTTAAATCCTTTGTTGTCTAGTTATGTGGATGATAAATAATAATAACAATTTTTATAGACATAGAAATATAAAAAATTGTAGGAAATGTTAAAAACATATTATTTACTACCATCATCATCATCATTAAAAATTTGCTTACAAAGCACATGCTCACTTACTAATCTCAAAAACAATGCAAGAATATAGAAAATGATAGGGGTTAGTGCATCATAAAAATTTATCAATGATTGCTCCCTGATGCTGCCACCGCAGGCATCTTGCACAAATGCAAAAGTCAATAGGGTTAGGGTGTCTTCTCTATTTGTAGGGCATAGGTGGTCATTTTGAATTTTTTTGGGACAATCTTGTCCCACTAAAATGAAATAAGTACTTATTCCTGTTTTTTTGTCAAATAGGAATGTGCTTATTTTTTTTTCACTTATTTCACTAAAATGAAATAAGTACTTAAGAACCTTTGGGATGCTTATTTTAAGTGCTTAAAATTTAAGTGTTTATTTGTTTTTCTTGGGACGAGTCTACCCCTAAAAAATTTTGATATGATGAAAATGTTCACATGAGTGGAGAAAACCCTATCATATTTCTCCATTTGTGTAAGGTGCTTAAGCAATAACAGGTTGAAACATGGAGGGTGGCTTGAGGCTAGAGATACGGCCTAGGAACCTCATGTATGTGATTTGTTTTGCATCTTTTGGGCTCCTCATCCATTTATAGTCCAATTTGGACTATCTTTCGTGAGTTTTTATTAGTTGAAACAAGATTCTTGACATTTTTTGCACATATATAGTTTCTAAATTAGAAACTACTCGAATTCTCACTGGTGGCAATGGGTACGACCATCCTAACCCCATATTTTGATTGTTTAGAAATTTATATTTTGTTTTGCGTATTCCATTGAAAAAATCCAATTATCTGATTTTTATTTGGATTTTTAAGAATATTACTCCAATAATATGCAATTCCTGATATTTTTGTTATTATTATTATTATCATCATTATTATGATTTTATTACCATATATGAATTATTATTGTTGTTATTATTATGGTAATAATGCCATGTGTAGTTCAATGTGTGTTACACGTGATCCATGTGTCTTGAAGGAGTGATGTGGTAATTTCCTTAGAAATAAATAATATAATATTCAAAAACCAACAATTATATGGATTTGTGAAGTAGAGGCTAAAAATGTCATTTCCATAAAATTAAGTACTCGTTTGAGAAGTGGTTCACCAAATATCATCACCACATTAAGTGCTTAAAATAACCATAAGTGGTTTGGGAAAGGGGTCTCCAAACAACAATAAGTACTTATTTTTTAAACCACTTATTTGCCAAATATAGCCAAAATAAGCTAGCCTAGGGCTACTTACTTTTTAAGTTTTATTTTCAAAATGAATACTTATTCTGGTTTTTTTTTTTGCCAAATATAAAAACTTATTTTTAACTTATAGTCTCATCACTTATTTTAAGTGATACAAAAAAAGGGCTAAATATGCAATCATTGTTTTAAAAGGCTTAAGCCTTGAGGCGAGAAACACATATTTTGCCTTTAGGCTTAAGCCTCACAACTTTGATGTAAGGCTTAAAGCCTTTGTTAGAGTAAGGAGTAAACCTCAAGCCTAAGGCATGAGGTGTAACCTAAGGCGTAAAAAGGCATAGGCCTTAGTATCAATGATTACTTAATGATTTAATGCAAAAAAAGATATATTTTTATAATTCAAAACATATAGAAAAAACACTTCAATAATTATAGGCCAAATAAAAAAAGTAAAAAAGAAAAACCAATAGGGCAATTCCAATTCTATTAGCTTTTCCTAATATTTTAAGAGAGTTCAATGTAAAAAGGACTAATCAAGCTTTTAGTTTCTTTTTGATAAATGAAGTGAGATTTTTATTATTATTCTAAATATAATGTCCCAAATTTGTTATTTTTCTCATTTCTTCTACTAATGGCTCTTTTTTTTTCTTTTTAACAACAACAATAATAATAGTTGATTCTTCTTCTTCTTACTATTATTATAATTATAGATAAAATCAACTAAGTTATTTCCTTTCTTATAAATTGTTTTTTTACATGAAATGTACTATGTTATTAGTTATTATTTTATTTAATGCTTAAATGTTGAAATTTATTGCTTAAAAATTTATAGTTTATGGATGTATAGTTTTTATCATTTTAATTTGACATATTATCTATTATTTTCATCAATTGACAAATTTTAATTAATTTTTCTCTTAAGGCCTATTCGTTTGCTTTGAAGTCTAACATCTGAAAGTGCAATAATTACATTAGGATATATATTGGTATTGGTGAACTTTTCTTTCCTCTGAAATCTGAATGCAAAGATTATTGTTTTGAATTTTGAAAATGATCAAATATCCATTTTGACCCCATATATGAAAGTTTTTGTTTGTCTTTTTGGAAGTACCACTAGAAAACAAAAAGTTGTATAATTACACTTTAAGAGGTAAAAAATAAGAGGAAATGAACAACCATTTTTTTCTTAAAATTAAAAGATTCATCTTAAAAGATAAGAACTAAGAGGAAACAAATAAACCCTTAAACTTTGAGGCTTATGTTTTGCAACACCTTAAGGCTTAGACCTCACCTTTTTGTGCTCAACTTTGTAATTGTAATAGAATTTTTAGAAACGGGTTTTCCTTCCCTTTCTTGGGAAGCTTTTTGTTTGATTAATTGTATTAGATCTCTATTTGGTTAATTTTAATTTTTTACCTAGAATGTTTAATAGGACTATTCATAAACTTGCCTAAATAACTAAATGTTTGAACTCGGAGCACAAAAAAAAATCCTCTTTTTGTTGTTAGTGGCAGTTTTTTTACTTGTCAAAACACAAAAAACATAAAGGGGGTATTTTAATAAGAGGCATTACGCGTGGATGCTTTAATTAATACAGTAAAGTGAAAGGGGATGTCTTTATAAATGAGATAACTCCAATTCTCACCTTAACCCTAGATGCACACTGGTTTTAGCCGGTGTGGCAGCGGCTCTGATTTTGATGATAAACAGAGAAGTCAAAATGGTCAACCATGCTAAGCCTTGATCCCGCGTAAGATTCCAATCCAAGTGCCGATAACAAAAGACTACTCTTCGTTCCGCTGGTGCAGTGTCTGTGGGCTGGGGGCCGCCGGACGAGACGAATGTCGTCGAAAGGGCTAAAGAGGTCTTGTTAAGATGAATGATGAGTTTGAACTTTGAAACGGTGAAGAATGATGAAGAGGATGAAGAGTGGTGATCAAATCAAAGCTACATTGTCATTGGGTTTTACTTTCGTTTAATTTTATCTGGAAAAAGAAGAAAACAGAAGTTGAAGAGAGATTTATGCACGAAACGCTCACATGTTATACGACGGCGGATGAAACGAAAAGTCCAAAAACGAAACTTCAGTCTTGTGGTCTCCTTAACCTTTTTCTAATCTAATCTAACTGCAATTTACCTCTGATGTCCCTGAGAAGATTTCAGTTGTTAGAACCAATGCGGAGAAGGAACTCCATCGAGTGTTGATGAGCTTTGAACATTCAGTTAATGATGGGTTCGTCGACGATTTTGACGCCCACGCAGAGATACGCGGCTGGGGCTCTTCTTTCTCTCGCCCTCCACCAGGCTCAGATCCACCAGACCCCTTTAGCATCCCTTCTGCCTAGTGATGACGATACTGCCGAGGAACGAACGAGCAGCGGCAGCAGTACCGATTCTGTGACAGAGGATCCTCACATTTCTCACCTCTGGATCCACCAAAACTTCGCTCTCCTCCGCCCTGTATTCAGGTCTCGCCCTTTCAACGTGATGGATTTTATTGAAATCTGAATTCTTGAAACAACTCATACCAGGTTGCTTGTGTTAAATCCTCGGTTTATCTGTTTTGACTGAACGATGCTGTTGCTCTGATTTCGTGTTCTGTTTATGCTATGGTGTCAGTCACTTTGAGGTTCACTATTGGTTCTGCATTCTTTTACAAGTTTCAAGTATAAGTTAATTTGTGGAATGAATTGATTGAAAGTTAAGTTTTATCTCGACTGATGATATTCTTAATGTGAAATTTTAAATTAGTGAAATAGGGTTATTCTATTTTGGGTAGTTATGGTCTTATGGATGATTATTGTATTCGGAACTACGTTATACTACTAAACTTTACATTGGACGTTCACGTAGGATCCTATTTTCAAGAATTACTGGAATCAATTTTGATCGGTTCCCTTTATCCATTTTGCAGCATAAACAGGTTATGGAGCATTTTGTCTCATTTTCTTTTATGGTTTTTGTGCTATAAACAGGTTCCTACAGATAGATCCTAAAGCCTGGACTGGGCTGGAGGAAACTGCTCGGTCTTCTCCAGCCAAGCATCGTGTTGGAGCTGTATGCCTTCTTCCCTACAATTCATGCCTTTGAAATATCTTATCTTATTGCATAGGATATATATGATTTTTTTTTTTGATTGGGTTTCTGCTCAATGATCTTAAAGAAGAGGTTGATGATACTTTTATTACTTTGCAATCCATAATCAAGAACCTTCAATCTTTCTTCATTAGAAAATAGTGAAGGTATACAATATTTTTAATAAGCATTTTTTCCAAGGACCAATGGTAAGTGGGAAATATATTTTGAATAAATAAAGGGATACTTTCCCCTGGCATGATGTTCGATCCACATGCTCCAGGGAAATATATATATTGGATTGATTTTAGAAGTTGAAAGTGTCAAATACTGGAGCAAGAAAACAACAAACATACTGGCAGTTTTCTTTTCCATTTAATGTAGAATTCAAAATTGTCATTTGAATGCCTGGTTTTGGATTTTAACGTTAATCTTTGGTTCCTCACAAGAAAACATTACCATATTGGCAATTTCTTTTTCTCTGCTAATCTATAATTGAAATGTATCAACTGAATGGTAAGTGTTAAGTTCTCATTTTTTAATCATTGGGTGCTTTTGCTGCCTTTCTGGTTTTATTTTTATTTATTTATTTGTTTTTTATTTATTGGTATAACTTTAGAATACAAAAAGAACTTTCATGACACCTGTTAATTATAAGTATTGGTCTTTAAACTATTCCTTAGATGGTTATTGGGAGGCCTGTAGGGGAGTCTCCAGATTTCCTGATATTTAGTCATCTGGCTAGTACATTTTGGTCCAAGAGATAACTCAATGTAACCTTTTCTGGTACCTTGGTTTGATAATTCATAACAAGGGGAGATTGAGGGGGGTGCCATCCATAGAATCAGAGTGGGATGGGCAAATTGGAGGGGGTGCACCTAGAGTTTTATGTAATAGATGGATACCACATAGATTAGAATGAAAATTCTGTAAAAGAGTTGTAAAACCACATATGTTTTATGGAGCATAGTGTTGGACAGTTGAGAAACAACATGTCCAAAAAATGAGTGTGGAAGAAATACATATGCTGAGATGGATGAGTGGATAAACTAGAAAGGATGGGATCCGAAATGAAGTCATTTGAAGGAACCTGCAAGTATCTCCAGAATGTGATAAAATGAGAGGAAGTAGACTAAGATGGTTCAGTCACATGCATAAAAGACCATCAACAACACACATAAGAAGAAGTGATTTGTTGCAAGTTGAAAGGGTTAGGGGTAGACCAAAAAGGACGTGGGTAGAAGTAGTAAGAAATGATTTAAATGCCAATAATTTAACAATGGATATGGCATTAAACAGAATGGAATTGCGAAAGAGGATTCATGTAGCTGAACCCCATATGACGGTGAATTGGTGATGATTACTAGCAAATCGTAGTCACCAGTCTAAACAAAGTATAACAATCTATTAAGAAATATAATTAACCAAGTTCCATATTTTATCCTACACCATCCTCCCCCTTTGAAAGTTTCACCTTCTTTTGAAAAAATCAGGTACAATTTTATTGACCTTAATCATGTCCAGGAGCTAGTTATTGAGAAACTGTTTCCACCTGCTTGGTAGTTATTTCTCAGCCGTTATCATTTTCAGGTGTCTTAGTACAGATTATGTGACGAGAATTATGGGTATCTTATAAGATATGGCTTCATGTCTGGCTGAATCTGATATTCTTACTTTTATACAAAGATATATGAATTCTATGGCCATATTTAATCCAGTAAAAAAGACTTTATTATCTGGAGATAGATAAAATGGTGAAGTGGCATTATAGAAGAGTTGTGGTTCTTTATTTTAGATTATCATGTAATATTATTATAAATTCTATTTTACCATGCATTTAGGCCTCTCAGGATTATAAATTATAACTGTGACAGATGGGTAACTCGTATATGTCCCTTTTTTTTGAGAATTCTTGGAGTTATGAGGCATTATTACTCTCTTTATTGTAGAGACTATGGGATTTTTACCTAAAGGTGTTCACTACCGTTGTGGAAGCTTCTAATCTTGCATATTTGTTTTTCATCATCAGCAGTCATCATTATGGTTAATTAATAATTAATATTCATCTATTACAGTTTTTTAGGTTACTTTCAGAAGATAATGATGAAACTTCTTCAGAAAGGTTGGACCAGGAACTTGCTTTGGCAAAAGCTGTTGATGCTACAGAAATGAGCATGGGAATCAGTCCTGTTTCTTCTGAAGCTACTATAGAAAAACATCATGAGGATGAACATGCATGCCATGAGAATAGCTCCTCTAGGTGAGAAGAATTTAACCTCTAAAGTGTCTGATGTGCCCATTGAAACCTCTCAATATATAAGTTTTAATATATTGTCCAGTAAAGAAGATGCATCTGATTGGTCTGGCAGGGGATCAGATGAGAATCTTGTGGAAGAAGAAACATTGCTCAGTTATCAGAGGAAAGTAGTTGTTCTGTATGAGCTCCTCTCTGCTTGTGTAGCAGATATACCTGAAGATGACAAGAAAGATACTCGACAAAGAAAAGGTTATGATGCTCGACATCGTGTGGCTCTTCGGTTGCTGGCAACGTGGCTTGGAATCAAGTGGATTAAAATGGTTTGTCCACCAACAAGTGCCACTATTTGTATACACCTTTTATATATGGCTGTGGTACATTTTGCTACTTGTTTGCCTCTACATCGATGGAACATCTAATATGTAATGATATCCTTTTTGATTTTAGGCTCCAATAGTTTTTTTGTTTCTCCATCATTGTTGGGACAATTAGTATGCTATTCTTCTTGATTGTAGGCTTTGGTTGCATTAAATTTTTGTGGTCTTAGTATATTTTATTTTGAAGGAAAAGGATGCTTTAAAGCATCAAAACTGTCCTCACTTTCCTCATTGGTACCATACTGATTATAGTACCTGTTATGTATAGACAGCATAAAATGGTAGTTTCTATTTATTTCCCGTTGTATGATACCCATCATAGCTTTATATGTTTTGTGTCAGAATTCATAAAGCTTAGCTAGATGTAGGGTGCAGAGGGCATTTTTCTATTGTTTCTTCTCTTTACCTACCATACTCTTTGTATTTGAGATTTTTTATTGTGGATATTGCATATGTTTAAGATCCTGACATGTAAAATTGTTTTTGCCATATATTAATACAACATCCATAGATCCTGACAACAACCAACAGTGGGATTAAGCAAGATCATCAAAACAATGAAACATGCGTTCCAATGTCCTAAAAGTGAGGTATTATGTCAGTTGTTGTCTCCTTGCTTTACAAGCTATGGATGTGCGGTTTGAATTAAGATAAAGAGAAAAAAAAAAGCCATCAAACTTATTTATTGCATTCTTCTCAATAAAATAATTATAAACTCTTCTTCTATTTTGATTGTGAATACAAGTTTCTGACACCATATCCAAATAGCTTTTGTTTGAGAGATTTTCCTTGCTTATCACAAATTTGTGTATATGTATTATGGAAAAGTTGACATATATTTAATTATTAAAGTAAAAGAAATAGTGCAGGATGGTCTAGAAACCCTTGATTCCCCTAAAGTTGAAGAGAAAAGTGGAGAAGGAGATTGAATAATAACAATGAAGCTGAAATTGCAGCAACAAGTCTCCAAACCTGAAGTTGTTGATCAGTTCTGGATCAATTTGCAGCTGTCTATCTATGTGCAGAACTTGTCAAATGTAGGATTGATTTTAATACTTGATTGGTCTTTTGTCATTTTTTTAGATTAGCCGTACTATGAAGGATCCAAATATGGTTTTGCTTGGCTGGAAGTACATAAACTGTTTTCTATAATTATATCATGAATGAAAAACTGGGAAGGGGTGTAATTGAGAGTAAGATGAATGGTAGCTATCATCAACATGAGGAAGTTTGTGGAGGTAGGCTGATGGAAAAAAGCTTTGAAGGTAGAAGCAAAGGACTTCTTGTTTGAAGAGATGAGGCTGAAAGGTATGCTGAGCTTAAATATTTTTTTTTGATAAATGAGTGAAATTTTATTAAACCAGTAAATAAGAACTACATGCAACCCATGGAAAGGCATGAAATGTGACCTTTCCTTTAAAGCTAATTACAGAATTATAAGTACAAAAGAAATTACACTGAAGCCCAAAATAAAGTATCCCGGAAAACCCCTTGTTTTGCAAGTGAATCAGCCAATGAGTTTGCTGATCTGCCTACCCACTGAACTCTGATTGTCATATTCCTTGTTAACCATTTAACCTTTTTGAGAAGATCTCTAAAACCTCAAATCACAGTGTCTAGATCCTTCAGCCAACCCACTATCACCTGGGAATCCCCTTCAATAATCAGATGCTCTATGCCTAGCTGATTTGCAAGCTGGATTCCTTGTACAGAAGCCAGTAATTCGGCCCTTAAAGAGTCTCCCACACCCGCAGGACCTGAGTACAAAGATGTCACGTTACTATCTTTGTTTCTTAGCACTCCTCCTATGCCTGAAGGTCTTGGATTTCCTCGGCTACTTCCATCAAAGTTCAGCTTGATAAACTCCTCCTATGCTGAGATTAAATATTAGGGAAGCAAAGAAAGGGATGGTGCTGCTACAAGGTATGGGGGTGATTGAATGGCTCAAGGACTTCATGGAGGAAGCAAGTTAGAAAGGTAAGCAAACAAACTGTAAGGAACATCTTTCCGAGGATGGAAGGAAATTTGTAGTAGAAAGCAAGAAAAACTCTAAAGGATCTTTTATATCACTGACTGAGTATTTTGAGAGAGCTGCTGCAATGGAAGGTTGCTAAACAAGAAGGAAATACAACAGAAAAGGAAATGAATAGTCTCTCTACAGCCCAAGATGGGTTTGACAAGCAATAAGGAAGTACAACAGAGAAGGGAACGAATAGTTTCTCTACAAGCCAAGATGGTTCTGACAAGCAAGAGTTTCTAATTGTGGCTAACAGTGCAGGGAGATACAGAATAGGAGTGAATCTAAAGAAAGATGATTGGGAAAATAAATTTATAGTTGTACCAAAGTCCTGGGTCAAAGATTGGAAGGAAGTTGCAGATCTGTTAATAGTAAGATTGAAGTTGAAGGATCTCATTTATCAAAAAAAAAAAAACAAAATGATTGAAGTTGAAGAAAACCTTCATTTTAACTCCTTTTGAGAAATGTAAGGCAGTGCTGGATCTTCTTGAAGACAGAGTAGAATTTACGGCTTTAAACATTCAAGCAGATTTATTTGTTGAAGATAGGGGTACTGGTGAGAATGTTAGATTTGCCCTTTTCACTTGTGGAAGCAAGAAATTGCTGAATCTATTGCACAGCTGTGTGGAGGGACTCATGATGGAGCTTATTGGGGAGATCTCCACTCGACAGCTATTCTTTTAAGTGGAGTAAGACCAAAGGAGATACCACAAAAGATAGAACTGAGAATGGAATGGCAGTTTGTATCAGTATGGTTGGCTTCATCCATTGAAGCTTGTCTCTGGAATGAGGCTCACAGGGAGGGGAGATGAGAAGTTTGAAGAAGAAGCACTGTTTGACACTAAACGATTGGTGGATTCAAATAAGAATAGACTTTGCACCAAAATGGAAATACAGGCTCTGGGGAGACCAAAAGGCAGGGAACATGAGGGTAATCTCAAGCGTGTAGGAGAAGGAAACAATCTGACAGGTAGCTGGACCTATGCGCAGGTGTTATCAGCCACCAAAAAGTCAGTTTTAAACACTGGGGAGGTGTTGGCCCAATCTTAGTTCCAAAGAAACTGAACCAGGTGTAGGCCTGAATCAGCATGCCCCTTGTAACGTGGGGTTGCAGGTGACTAAAGATGGCCCCCCAAAAGATAAAATTCCCATTAGTCAAGACCTATCGGTTGGGCCAAGGGCCAAAGTTGATAAAGAGGCCCATATTAGAGTTTTAGAATTGAGTAAGTGACGTGAGACTTTAGAAATTCACATGGTTGAATTTTTGAAAGCAACTATAGACCGGAAGGACGGTATATCATTGTCTTCCTCAAGCTCCTCTGCTGGTTGCTGCAAGTCTGGAGCGGATTCTCTCCCCACAAGCTCACTGCAATGGATGCTGACCAAGATTATAAAATCGATCTCACCTGAAAGGCAAAATCCCAGATGCGTAAAAAGAAGGGACCTGGATTTTGCGAAAGCTGGAGATTGGTCTGATGAAGAGGACAGTGAAGATTCATAATCGGATGAAACTGTAAGCTTGGATAGCGTCGATCTACAAGCAGAGGTGAACATGTGGGAAGAAGAAAGCCTTAGCACAGAACTTTTGTTCATTGTAGAGGAAATGTTCGGCATCGGTGATGTCAAGGAAGACCACAGGATTGAAACACTGGCTTCAGGGGCTGTGCTTGCAACACCAACCATTGTCGTGGGAGCTAATTCAAAAGAGAAACACTTTATGGGCATTAGTGTAGAGAGGCATAACTCGCATGTGCCTTGCAAAGGTAGGTTGGAAAAGGAAATACAGGGACAAGGTTCTCTTACGATAAGATTAGAGAGGGATGTCAATCAAACTCAAAACACTCTGCAGGAAAGCCAGGATAAGGGGAAAATTGTGGCCTCAGACTTGAAGTCTCATCTCCTAGCCTCTTCTAATGTTCCTTCGTCTTCTCAAAGCCAGGTACGACTGTCCATTTGTTTTCTGGTACTGACTGTGTGTTGATCCTCCTGCAGATATCCTAACGCCTCATCTGGAAGGGGGCAGGGCAGTGACAGATCTAAGGGTGGAATTACAGTTGTTGTTGATGAAGGAAAAGAAAAGGCTGATTCTGTCTGTAGGAAGGGACTGGAGGAGAAGATTGAAAGGATTTGGAGTCTGATTTGGATGGACTTTGAGGAGCTTAAGCAGAGGGAAGAATTTCTGGAAGAATGTAATGAAAGGAGATTTTGGCCAGAAAGGAGGTGGAGGATGAAGGAGAAAAGGAAGGTAAAGGGGTAGCTAAGAAGGCAGAATTTGAAAAGGAGAGGGAGGCTTTGGAAAAATATCATAGAGAAAATGAGTGAAAGAAGGAAAGTAAAAAGAAAAAAAAGAAGGTGAGGTGGAAAAGTTGATATCTGGCATTGAGGGGGACGTAGAGTTTAGTGGAAGGGGAGATAGGAGAAAGAGCTCTAGGTGAGGAAAGGAGCAGGAGAGGGGTGCTAGAAGGGTCTTGAGAAGGAAGGTATTGATGAGAATAGTAAGCTGGAATGTGCGAGGTTTAGGGAGTGTGAGAAAGAGAAAACTAATAAAGGACTTAGGAGGGAAAAGCCTGACATCGTGATGTTGCGGGAGACAAAAATTTTCTGAGCTAAATGGAAGATGGATCAGAAGTTTTGGAGATCCAGGGGTATAAGATGGTCTTCAACTCCGTCTTGGGGAGCCTTAGGGGGAATAGTGACAGTCTGGAAAGATGAGGTAGTGGAACCTTTAGAGGAAGATAGGGGAATTCTCTGTTTCTATCAAATTTAGGCATGTGGAGGATGGAGTTATTTGGATTTTAACTAATGTGTATGGGCCAAACTCCTACAGAGAGAGAAATGAAATGTGGGAGGAGTTGTTTGCAATTAAAGGTCTATGGGATGGTCCTTGGTGTTTGGGAGGGGATTTTAATGTCATAAGATTTTCAGA